TGCTCATCTGTTAAAAGTGGTGATAAATAGAAGCCTTATATTATGATTCTTAACACAATATAACAAATGTCAGGCCTTTAGACCAAGTCTGTAAATAGTCTTTTATATGTATAAGTGGTAAAGAATCTCCAAAATCCTAATATGATTGTTTCTTTTTAGAATTGACACATCTGTTAACTGTGTATATTATAATGTTTTAATGTGTGTGTAATTATAGCATTGATAATTCCAGCTTATTGGGATGTTCTTGATTTCACATACTTTGTTGTAAGAACAGTTAAAACTATGTTCAGCAATTTTCAGGTATACAATGTTCCTGACAATGATAATGGGTAGTGCAGAGGGCCTGCTTATAGCCTTTATGACCTATGACAGGTACGTGGCCAGTTGTCATCCTCTCAAGTACTCAATCTTTATGGGGTCAAGATCTGCTGGCTCGTGGTGACCACATCATGGATCCTGGCATCCCTGAGTTCCCTAGGACATATCATATGCATTTTCCTTTCTCCATTTCCTTGGAAATCAGATGCCTGTTCTGTGAGATCCTGCTCTCTGCTGAAGTTGACCTGTGCAGACACCTTCACCTATGAAGTCTTGGTTTGTGTGACAGGGGTGACTTTCCTCTTGCTCCCCCTTTTTGCCATGGTCATCTCCTACACACTTATTCTCTTCTCTGTGCTCCACATGCCCTCAAATGAGAGAAAGAAGAAAGCTTTTGTCACTTGCTTTTCCCACCTGACTGTAGTTGGGCTGCCATGTTCATGTTTGTCTGGCCCAGTTCCTTCCATAGTCCCACACAGGACAACATCGTCTTTGTCATTCCTGCCCTGAACCCCCACATCTACAGTTTGAGAAATAAGGATGTCATGGGGGCCTTGAAGAGGGTCTTTGGAAAATATATCCTGCCTTCATACTCTAGCAATTAGGACTTACCTGTCACTATTCCTTTTCCTCATCAAATTGCTATACTCACCTATTTTTTAGTAATAGATTCTGTGATGGTCCAAACACATTTTAAACTCTTTATCTTCTACTGTGTAGTTAGTATGTACAAAGACATGACATTGAAGTCATGTGGCACATATTACTTTCTCTTGGGAATTTCCACATTAAAAAAAGACTGGAAGAAAATGGTTGAATAGGTGTCTGAGGTTTACTATGCTGTGAGGAATCATGAACATTACCAAGTTGACAGGACAGGGTATTAAATTTCTACTTCACCTTTACATATTGGGGAGAAATATTAGTTGTTTTAGGCGAAGCAAAAAGTAATAGCATTGATCTTCAGCAGTCTGTACCCTTTCGATTGTATTCTTAAAATATTAATAAAGGAGAAGTTCTACAAAAGATGTATTGGACTCATTGCTCATTTAAAAGATAGCTATTGTTCTGGGCACTGGTGACTCACACCTATAATCCTAACTACTCAGGAGGCTGATATCTGAGTTTCATGATTCAAAGCCAGCCCAGGCAGGAAAGTTTATAAGACCCTTATCTCCAATTAAATCACAAAAAAAAATTGAACATGGTGCTGTGCTTCAAATAGTAAGGTGTTAGCCTTGAGTAAAAGGATCGCAGGAACAGCACCTAGACCCTGAGTCTAAGCCTCAGGACTGGCAAAAAAGAAAGCTATTGATGAGGAGGAATAATAGATATATGATTACATTTGTATTCTATATCTGAGGAGAAATTCGTGTTTACAAAAAAAATAAAAAACCAGTAGTGAGTACAACAAAGGGCTACAAAAAGAGAGCCTGACATTTCAAGTTGTAAACTTTCATGGTTTCTGTAAATGGGCCATTTTACAATGTCTAAATATAAAACCAAAAGTAAGAAATGAATAATTGCAATGGAAATTTAGCTACACATAAATAGAGAAGGAAAGAATCCCCATGGATTCTGGTCACTTCCAATCTTACTAATATTCTAAAATATTTCATCATAAGAAGGAACAAGAGTCACCAAATTTTAAATGGCAAAGGGGTTTTTCATTCATATATAAAGTTTTATATTTATATTCATGTACATTATACCTGCACTATGTATGTGTGTGCATCCACATAAAATATAAACAAAATATTATACATGATGTTTCTAGAGCAATGTTGACTACATTTCTGAAACTTTTTTTATTAATAAGTTTTTACTGTGAAAATACCATACAGAGGGGTTACAATTACATGGGCAAAGTAATGAGTACATTTTTTATCAAGCATTGTAGCCTCCTCCTTTGTTTCCCCTTCCCATCCCTTCCCATCTCGCCCCGCGGCCCCCTTCTCCCCCCACACCCATCGAAGATCCTCGATTTCAGCCTCCTGAAGAGCTAGGATTTCAGACATGAGCTGCTAGCTCCTGACTCTAAACACATCATCATCATCATCATCATCATCATCATTATTATTATTATATTTTGGTGTGGGAAGACTTAAAGCCATTGTTGGCCTCATATTTGCTGAGTGCAGGTATTCTAAAATATTTTGATTTATGTCAATGACATTATTTCTGATAGCAGTACTTGAGAAAATTCAGAGATTTAGAAAATAGCAACCAAAAAAATCACCTGGAACTTTTCCCCTTCATTTTGTGTATATCCATGTATATTTTATATATTTCTAATTAAACTCTTTTGTCATTTACAATTTGGAGATTCTTTTTTCTTGCTATGATGGAATATTTTGCAATATTAATAGAACACAAAATTACCAGAACCCCTGAATTTGAAACACATCCATACAGTTAAAAACATCCATACAGTTTAATTTTATGCTATCGTTTAGCATTTTCAAGGCAATTTAATCATCTAGGAGTTAGGAATCACATGAAATAGCCATATGTCAAATCCCTCATTACACATCACATATTTAAAACTTAATCCTCACAAAATTCTATGAAATGAGTCTTTTAAATTACGAACACTTTATTGCTGCCTCTAGTTCAATGGGATTAAGATTCATGTTCAAAGTTATGCAAGTAAGCAATGCACTTTGTAGAGTTCTCAAGCCTGACAATGGAGACAGCAATCTTCAGTATTGCTCAGTCTGCCACCATACAGTGCAGAGGAAAGCATCACTAAATATCCACAGGTGAGAAACAACTGTGTGCCTGCATTAAAAATGGAAGGAAATTCATCTAACTGTGTGTAGAGTTTATCCCTGGGTGAAAGTTTTTCTATACTTAGTATATTAATTTTAAAAGAACTTTATCGTAACAGATAATATGAGCATGAAAACTGTACCAATTAGTGGTGCATCATGTTACGTTATCATACATGTATATGCTTACATATATTTATTTTGTCAGCTGTTATTACTTCTTTTTATTAAAATATTTGAGGTTCTTTATTCTACCTTTTCTAAATGCATATTTCCCTTTTCTATATTCATTATACTGTGGAATAACAAGCTAGATATTTTTGCTCCTAACTGTAACTCAGGGTTCTTTTTGTTTGTTTGTTTTTGTGCCAGTTCCTGGGCTTGAATTTAGGCCTTGTTCCTGTCACTGAGCTTTTGTATTAAAAGCTAGCTCTTTATCACTTGAGCTACAACTCTATTTCCAGTGTTTTGGTGTTTAGTTGGAGAGAACATTCTCAAAACTTGCCTGCCTAACTGCTCAGGAATCTAAGAATTACAGGTATAATCATCAGTGCCCTGATTCAATATTCTTGAACAATATTTCTCTGTTCCTTCTCCACCCCCAACAATCACCAGCTTCTAGTAACCAGTCTTCTACTTGAATGACATCAACTGAAAAAGAGCACCTATTAATGCTATAAATGAACTGCTATTGTGCTATTTTATTTGAGGAAGAAAAAATAGAACAATAGGACAATATCGTCAAAAATAGTTTAGCATAATTAGTTTAACAAGAAAAATTATATTGTTCTTTCCTTTTCTTTTTGAAACTTAAATTGATTTTAGTGGCACATAAAAATGGAAAATTACATGTCTATATGGAATAACAGACTTTTTTGATACATTTATAGATTTTTGTAATACTTAAACACCCATACCATGCATACTGACACTTTGCAATTATGGAACATATTAAAATAGGTTAAGAAAAATGGAAAATTCCCTCCTTTGATCTGCTAGTTTGGTTTTATTACCAATGAGACAAAATCATCAATGCTTATTTCAGTCTTTAGCTCTATAAAAGGAGGAGAAGGAAGATGAGAAAAATGTGCTTTTGATGGTTCTTACAAATGGATGTTTTAAATTTCTTTAATATTTGAATTTAAATATTATAAAATACCCTCAAATAACAAACACATACATGCTCAATACAAACAATCATACCTATTAAAGCTGATGCTGGAAAGAGGAAAATAGTGAACATAATGCAAATGTATGAAAACTTACTAGGACATTAGACAAAGACTGTCAAGAAGCTTTTAATAAGGGTTGGCCTACAACTGGTATAAATCTCAATCCCTCTACAAGTGATATCTGTGCCTTTCTTAGACCACTGACTTGAAACTGTTGTTTCTGATACTTAAGTTGGATTAGTAGGTAATAAAAGGCTCAGGAGCCAAATCCAATTTGGCCATACCCTTTAGACTCTTTTAAATAACTAGCCATATGGTAAAATAGAGACTATGAAAGAGTAAATGATAAGGAAACCTATATAATATGACTCATCCTGTCAAATGCCACATGAAAAGAAAATGTTAAGAGCATTTGATGAGTCCAATTACATGGTTATTTTTCTCCATCAAAAGATATTACCAAGCTGGGTATTGGTGGCTCACATCTGTAATCCTAGTTACTCAGGAGGCCAATAACTGAGGATCACAGTTCAAAGCCAGTCCATCCAGGTAAAGTCTATGAGACTTATCTCCAATTAATCACCAAAAACACCACTCAAAAAGCCAGAAGTAGAGCTGTGCAAGTGGTAAAGCACCAGCCTTGAACGTACAAGAATTCAATAGAGGGCCCATGTCAAACCTCAGGACCAAGACCAGAAAAACAAAAACAAAAACAAAAAGAAGCTAGCTATGACACTCAGGGAGTTGGGTGTGTTGGAAATAAGTGTTTTCCCAAGATCCTCCTCAAGGCCCCCATGACCTCCTTATTTCTCAAACTGTAGATGAGGGGGTTCAGGGCTGGAGTGACAATTGTGTAGAACACAGAGATGATGTTGTCTTGTCTGGGATTATGGAAAGAATTGGGCAGGACATACATGAATGTGGCAGCCCCATAAAACATCCCAACCACAGCCAGGTGGGAGGAGCAGGTGAGAAGGGCTTTCTTCCTCCCCTCATTTGAGGGCATACGGAGCACAGTGAAGAGAATCAGTGTGTAAGAGACCAGAATGGCAGCAAGTGGGGGAATCAGGAATGTCACACCCATCACATACACCAAGAGTTCATAGGTGGAGGTGTCTGCACAGGCCAACTTCAGCAAAGGTGGAATCTCACAGAGAAGATGGCTAATGTCCCGGGCTTTGCAGAAGGGATATTGCATGGTATAAATTGTATATACAAGGGCACTCAAGGATGCCAGGAACCACGATGTGGTCACCATGAGCCAAAGGACTTTTGTGCTCATAAAGATCGTGTAGTTGAGAGGATGACAAATGGCCACATACCTGTCATAGGCCATAAAGGCTAGAAGCAGGTCCTCTGCTCCACCAAGTGTCAGTGCCAGGAACATCTGCAGGGCACAGCTTCCAAAGAAGATGGTGTTATCTCCTAGGAGAAAATCCATGATGGCCTTGGGTGTGACAACTGTTGTGAAAAGGAGGTCCATGAGAGAGAGCTGCCTAAGCAGGAGGTACATGGGCACGTGGAGCCTCACGTCCATTGTGATGAGCAGGAGCAGCAGCCCATTGCTGGTCAGGGCCAGGATGTACAGTACTGTGATTGTAGCACAGAGCAGTTCAGGAAATCCACTGTCATTGAGAATGCCCTCCAATATGAAGCTGCTTGCCAAGGTGGAGTTCCAGACCTCCATTCTGTGTGCTTTCTTTAATTGCCTAAAAACAGATGGATTTTTAGTGAGGTCTTATTAATATAAATAGGTTAGTACCATCATTATGTATTTCAACAAACAATATAATTTCAACAAATGATATATGTCTCCCTTGTGAATTGTTCTGCATCTTGAATTTAAAACAAGTGATTTTTTTTACTATATCTTGATTGAAAATTTCTCAATATGGAGAATAAAAACTGCAGAATTATATAAACATCAAGAGGTCATTCCATGAAAATATTATTCAGCATGTTAATCCTAAACATGTATCTATCAAGAAAGATTACATTATCCCTCTTTCAAGACTAAGAAATATTCTGACATATCCTTGTTTTTCTTTTGTTTTTTCGTTTTTGTTATTATTAAAGGTGTTGTACAGAGGGGTTACAGTTATATAAGTCAGGTAAAGAGTACATTTATTTTCAGACAACATTACTCCTTCCCTTACTCTCTCCCAGTTTTTTTCTCCTATCCTCTTTTTTCATATTTATTTATTTATTATTTGCCAGTCCTGGGCTTGAACTCAGGGCCTGGACACTGTCCCTGAGCCTCTTTGTGCTCAATGCTAGTGCTCTACCACTTGAGCCACAACACCACTTCTTGCTCTTTCTGAGTAGTTTATTGGAGATAAGTGTCTCACGGATTTTTCTGCCCGGGCTGGCTTGGAATCATGACACTCAGATCTCAGCCTCCTGAGTAGCTAGGATTATAGGTATGAGTCACTGGAGCCCAGCTACTTTGTTTTTCTTAATGTAATGTTTGATTAATGCTTTAAATAGCAAGTTTAGGGTTCCCTTCTGTCCACATCCCCTCCAGCATCTGTTGTTACTAGAGTTCTTGATTATAGCCATTCTAACTGGGGTGAGGTGGTATATGGAAAGACATGGAAAAAATCATATTAAATGAAGTAAGCCAGGCCCAAAGAAACATAGGTCCCATGGTTTCTCTTATTTGCAATAACTAGTACATGTCTGAGACAAGCAGAAAAGGTCAGATTAAGTTGATGTTAGGTGAAATGAACCCCAAGATAAGGATTCAAATGTTTTTTTTTCTTTCTTGCTATTGTTTTTAACATATTTATAAGATATTTCTTTGTAGCTTTTTATGTCCCTCCCCCACGGTATAACCCCTGTTTTCACTGTATTTGATGTTGGTATAATTTGTGGAGGGGAAGGGAAAAAATTGTTTAAATAGGGATACAGGTGGACCCACTGCAACTATGAGATGTACAAGACGCTATGTCGAAAAATGAACTTTACAATTTTGGTGCAGGGGGGTGAGGGAACTGTGGGTGGGGGGGGGGGGGAGATGGGAAGGGATGGGAAGGGGAAACAAAGGAGGAGGCAATAATGCTTGATAAGAAAAATAAATAAATAGCAAGTTTATTTGCATTATGACCCTGTTTTTCTACTTATAAGTTCAGGGATATGAATTTAAGAAAAGATCTTCTTTTCTTTATCTACTTTTTTGTGGGTGATACATCCTTTTTAAAGCCAGCTGCCTTAAAATTTGCAATCATCCTGTCTATGAGAACGGGGATCGTGGGAATGAACTGCTATGCCTGGCTTCTTTTCCATGTTCCTTAAAGCCACAATTTTCTGTAGCATTCAAGGCTACAGACACTAGTGAGGTTAAAAGTGTGCAAATTTATCCCTTTAGTTACTTCTTTTGTCCAGAATCTCATTCTCTATTAGCTTTCAAACCACAGGATGTTGAATCTGAGATAATGTTGCTTTTCTATCTACACTTGCAGAATGCATGCAAACAATTTTGTTTGCTTCTTAGTTTTAATGTGCTATTATTATGCCATGTGAGATTGGAAATGAGGGCATTTAGAGTTGGGATAATCAATGAACAGACAGATGAAGCCAACCCAGACAGGAAGTGAAAGATTCAAGTGAAAGATTCCACTTCCTGCAACTCATTTAGATACATCATATCCTATACATCCTAATGGTTCAGTGATTTTCATTGGCTTCTTTTGAGTACTGAAAAGGTTTAAGAATGTTCAACAATTACATCAGAAATTCTTAGTTGGCCTGTGATGGTGGTTCATCATCAGATAAGTACAAAACCATGGTCAGAAGCTAGTAATGGTGACAGGATCTGAAATCAGGTATTGAGATTGCCACCAGGAAGCAGGTACTTTGTCCTAACCTATAGTATAGGCTTTTATCAGTTCTGACTGGTTGGCTCTTAATCAGGAAATCGCTGAGAGATTAAGGAAATGGAGACCACAACACAAGAAGTTGGTGGGCAAAGTAGTTCATGTTAATTACGGTTAACCTTGAACCCTAATTTTTTTGACCAGTGTGCTGAGAGAGTATACATTTCCATTAAAGACAGAAAAATGTCTTACCTCTGGTGGAGAGAAGCCCAGCTTTACTGACTGTCTCCACTCCTTTGGGTTATTTGAAGGTTGATGCTGTTTCAGTAGAAATGGGGAAGATGTGGCTTTCTGCAGTAGTATTCAGTATGCTAAGTTGGTTGTGTTTCAGGATTCCATCCGATATCAGGTGTCAGGCTCCACTGGTACTCAGATGTTCACTGGCGGTACAGTAGGAACAGACAGGCAGCTACCACAATCTTTGGCTTGTATCCTATGGAGCAAGAAGCTGGACTTCCTCTTCTTAATGCTGAGAGGAATTTGCAGAAACTGCTTTTATCATACAATCTGCCACGGAATGAAAGCCTTCTAGCCCTTCTAGCTCAGTTTTTGACTGAGTTCTTGGATCCAGTTGCTTAAACTCTATTTTATTCCTGCTGGCATCTGAGAGCCACTGCCATTATTCAAATCCTCTGGAAGGAAGTAGATAATGCAAGAGAAGCACAAAAGTCTCTGGTATGTCCCACATCAGCATCTCTGGAACTTGCAGAGAGCTGGGCCCTTGTACTAGAACAGGGTTCTCTGTCTTCTGATCCCATGCCTCCTCCCTCTACTTTGTCCTTTACCTCTCCATCTTGAGAGGAACTTTATGTTCTCTGCTGAAATGGTCTCCGTGGAAATGCTGGCCCAGGAAATGGAAGGTTAATGAATACTCTTGGGTTGGTTTGTGGACCTGACTTTCTTCTCTCACTAAACGCAATCTGAGCCTTACGTTCCTTTCCTTTCTTCCTACCCTCCTTTCCTCCATTCCCTTTGTTTCCCTCTTTCCCTTCTTCCTTCCTTCTTTTCATCCTTCCTTAATTTCTTCCTTCCTTTCTTTTCACCTCCTTTATTCATTCCTTTTTATTTTTTGACAGAATCACTCTGTAGCCCAGGCTAGCTTTGTACCTGTGATCTTGCCTCGGCCTTCAACTAGTGTCATTACAGGCATGTGCGAGTGCACACAGCCGCCTAGGTTTCTAGTCAGCCCTACACAAGATCTTTACAAATCTTTAAGTTGCTACTGTAGATAGCAGGAAGCAAGTGTCCTTGTGCTAGCATTCAGCCCCCAAACATAAGATGGGTTTCTCTGTTTCTGTGAAGCGTTGCTTTCCTCCATTATGGTCCTTGCAGCCTGGACTATTTCCAATGCCATATGGCTGCTCTTGCACAGACTGTAAACGTAAACTCTTTCCTTTCTTTGCCTTTTGAAGTCAGTAAAGCTTATTTGTGTGCACGTCTTGGTGCTAATATTCTGCCATCTGTGATGCTAAGGGAGAGAGTTCAACTTTCCAAGTATTGATCAACTATGAAAAACAAGTCCACATAGTACTGAAGCTTATAGAGTATCAATATTAATTATAACCCTTTCAAGGCTTGCAGGGATTAAAATGATACATTACCCACTATGTAAATGTACTGAGGTAACAATGGCCTTCCAAAGGCAATAATAGGACAAGGGACACATACATTTACAGAGACTCTTAAATATAGCGGCACACACACCTAGATTATCTTTACACAGCTAAACTATAGTTACTGACGGAATCAAAATGAACAATAAAAGCAAAACCCAAAAGTCTCCTAATAAAATAAATTCAGCCAGAAAGAAAAACGAAAGCTAGGAGCTATTTACAGTTCCAGGAAGAATGTTGAAACTAAAATCTGAGTCAGTGAGTGAATTGAGAAGTTTAATTCTTGAAAAAAATATACATTATATTCTTAAAAGAGATCTAATTCACAAGAATGACAGCACTTGGTTGATACTGCTATGTATACTTATGAAGGCAGTAGAAATAGAGTATTAAAATATTCATACTCATTTAGTTATTTCCTTTTTATTTTAAAATGAGAAAAATTTAAATACATTAATATCAGTCATTTTTTAGTATTCTGTTTTGCAAGGTGTTTTTGTTTTGTGTTGGTGTTGTATGAGGGATTGACCCTTTCACTAGATACACAAGCACTTGGAACATACACCAAATACTCAGTTTTGCAAGTTTGTTAAATAAACAGTCATGTAATGACCACCGAAGTCAAGATATTAGCTGCCAAAATTTTACCAGCCATCTGAACTCTCTAGTGCTCTTTGATTGTAATATTTTCCCCTCAACAAACTCCATCTATATGCCTGATCTGTTTACTGCCAACATAACTTTGTCTTTTATATCATACAGATTAAGTCTAGCTTCATTCTTCTAGCATAATGTGTTTGAAATTCATTTATATTCTTCTGTCTGTTAGGAGTTCTTTTCCATTTGTAGCCAAGTGGTATCCAATTATATGGACTATTCCTATTTCTCTCTTCATTCACCAATCTGTGGACATTTGTGTTGCTTCCAATTTTCCTGGCTATACAGAAAAGAATCAGATACATTCATGATCACAAATAGTCTATTTACTCAATAAAGACTATAGATTCTGCTCTGTTGGATCATAAAAGAATATTTGAATTCATAAGAAATTGACAGTCTATTTCCATAAAACATTGAGCTCACATATGCAGAGAGCAGAATTGTGGTTACAAGAGGCCAGCAGGAGGGGAGAGAGTGTGGTGGACATGCTGAATACAGGAGGCAAATTTCATCTATGAAGATGGAATAAGTGCAAATGA